TTCAAGTACCAGAGTTATCAACCAAGGATTGAGGTGTTCAAAAACTCATTCTTTTCTATCATAGAGTGGAACTCGCTGCCACCAAGTACAGTAGATAACTTTAAACAATGTCTAGAGTTAGATGTGCAAGGGTTAGGTGTAACAAGTCGTTCGGTGTGATATAGCTAGCTGCCGCCGCGCCGCGTGCCTGCGAAGCTGGTGTGTTACGCCGAAGGGCGGTTTTACCGGCTATACCGATACAGAAATGGCCCCCTTTTTTAGCTCAATTTTTTAAAAGCTACGCCCCATCCTCCCTTGACTTGCGGCCAGTACCACTATGCTAAAATTAAATCCTAGCTAGAACCCTGCACTTCATGAAGGAGGGAACTTCTGTTACCGGGATCGCGGCATGATTAATTGCGTTGTCGTAGTGCTGTTAAGATATACTCCACGGTGCTGCGGTGTCCGTCCTAATTTCATGGCGGGCGCCCCCACCTCTAGGCCGATCGGTTACACTCGATCAATTAACGGGTAAACATTTACAAAATGAACAGCTAGGAGGGAGACGTGACGGACGTTCGTGCTTCGAGGCAGAGGCTGGAAGGAATGACAATCGCTGCTGTGGAAGAGGCTTATGACTCAGAACATTACCTTTTGAAATGGCATGTTCCCGGTATTCTTTTACATGTATGTCTCACAAAAGTTCAAGATTTCCTTCCTTTGCATTAAAGTTGGTGCTTAAAATCTGTCTTATTCCTCAGAACATTGTGACTATTAAAATGATGGCACATCACTGGAATTGTCTGTAACTCTCATGGATTTACGTTCAGAAGTGATTGGTCATTACTTATCCTGATGAAGGCAACAGTGGTAAATGAAAATTTGATCCTTGTGTACAGTTTGGTTGGAATAAAGTTCAGCATCCTACTATCACTTGAACTATGTGTTTACGGTATTCTTTTACTTCTCACAAAGTTTAAAATTTCCTTCCTATACTTTTATGTTGGTGCTTAAAATTTGTCTTTAACTAGGCTTGATACTTGAATCACATTGAATTGGAAAGTTTTCTAACATTCTTTCAACAGAAATGGCCATTAAATGGCTACCGATTCTCTATTGTTATGGGGTAAGGCAGCAGGTAGGTTAACTGTAATCCACAAAATGTCAATGAACAATCTTAGCAAGGAGAGTTTTACATTTGAGTTCATGGTACTCTGGAACACAAATTGGAGGTTTAACCGATAAAATGATGGGACAGAAAGACAGATGACTGTCCGCTGGGGTCGAACGTTTGTTGTCCCAATTTCACAGTCGCTCAACCAGGCCCACAAGGCTTATTAGTTCCACCAAATCAGCTCTAAGCACTGTCAATAAGTATCTATCCTTCAAGTGGTCATCTTCATACATTATGGCAGTGTTCCAGCCAGCCTAGATCCTTTTCTGTCATCTCAATTTTGTTTGGCGTAACATCATGTCGAGTGCCAAATCCTAGGGGGTTCAGGGGAATGCTACCATGTGAAAATTTTGAAATCTTGACCATCTGAAATGTTATATCCTGCATTTTGAGGGGCAACATTTTCTTGGAATTTGTATTAGGAATTTGCACTTACTTAAACTTAGTGTTAATTTACAAGAGCTAACAATTACAAGAAAAGTTAGCTCTTTAATTATAAAGCTTTTACTTTGTTTTTGCAATGTTTCATAGCTTCCTTACATTCTTGCATGTGTGAATCACAAATTTAGATCATTCTGCAAACTTAATGATAAATAATGATTACGCAAACCCTGCAAGCATTATAAGGAAAATTGGTAATTTGCAGTGAAGGCAAAGTTATACACTTCTCCAGAAAGTTTTGTAAGTTTTCCTTCTCTCTACCAACCTGGCACATGTGGCTCATAAATTTTACATCTTCCAATCAGTCCCATCTGCATACTTAACGAAGATGGCTGCTTGAAGAGAGCCCTTTGGCCATCGCTGTCCGTTCTGCCAGATTTGTCAGGAAGTGAGGCAAAAAAACGCTCATTACCTCCTGCTAATGAAACGATTCCGAGGGCCAATACAGGCCATTGTGGCTTTCCGATAACAGATTTTTCTTCATAATCCAAACTTTATGTATCGCCTCTCTCTGGTAACTGTTTCAGGGCAGGTATTGGCTGCAGCGTCCCAACGGAATATCAGCTTAAACCTACAAATTTCATTACTTGTTTAATGAATCTACTTCAGCTCTTCTTCTGGCAAACATTGAGTATACTAACAAGTGTTCTAGGCAGCTCCATCTTTCCAAGTTTTGACGGAATTTTGCCTCTCTTGACTGACAAAACTTGCCCAATTTGTCATCTTTCATGGACAAAAATTTGTGTGTAAAAATATGTGACACAAAGGAAAAAATTTCAGGCTAGCTACAACATTAAAGCTAACTACAAGTATAAGCTAACCTTTTCATATGTTTTAGTTTACTACAGCTTGGGCTTCCATTCACAAAGACTTTTTTGTAATAAATGATTTTCCAAATCAACATATTTTCCAACTAGCTTCCTCTACCTATTCAAAGAATGTAACATTCCAGTAACACAATGAGTGTATCAGCAATGTGGGCTCAACCATCCTGGAATGGGGGGAGTTTAACAGAGACGACTATTTCTTTGCAAATCTGGCGCGGATTACCGATACAAATGAGTGTATTGATGTGCGCTTGCAGGCTTCAGAAGGGAATTAATAGCAACTAAGCAAATCAATGCTTCTTATTAGAGCAACGTGCACATCGTGGGATCTCAGCGCAGCTCCGGATCACTTCGGTGATCCATCAAGATCAGGACAGGCAAGGGAGGGATCCAATCTTGGCTGGCCTACGTCGCTTTAGGATAGCAGCATATTGCTGCCCAGACAAACTGCCAGAGGGTTGGATAATATATAGGAGACTGTTTGCTTAGAAATGTAGAAATAAATGACTCAAAGTGATTTATTTTAAGTATAAGAAGTTAGATTTGAATACTTTACTGTTACTTAAAGAACAAGAAGTTGGTTTGGGTTGCATTTTGCTTTGATATTGTAACAGAGCATCATACTTAGGATACCTATACATTATGTTCTGCCTTGTTTTGTCTATTTAATTATTTTTCTTGGGACTTTGAGAGTCAATGTTGTAGCATTGCCTCTTACAACATCCAAAATTACACACAAAATTAGACAACGTATTCTTTAGACTCCAAAAGCTTATAAGGAACAGAATGACTCCCAAGCTGATTTGCTGTATTATCCAGACTAGCTATTGCTTGCTTAATCCAGATTTACAAATTAATAGGTCCTGCTTCTATTCACTGCTGCTTTACAGTGTAAAGAAATGCTAACAGTGCAGAAACCCTGCCCGGAGGGTGTTTGAGTTATCGCTGCAGATTAACACTGCTAAGTGTTTTCAGCTATTAGACCGAATGAATCACAGAAGAAGAGTCACTATCAGATTTGCAGGCGACGCGTTCAACAAATTTGGTACGCCTGACATGCCACACCTGGGCTGGAAATACCACCTGTATATGCAAGATACTAGTGCAGGTAGAATTGGAGCTGTGTAGGTACTTTTGATGTCTACCTGCACCTAACCTGCACTGGTCTGTGTACTCAGTATATGTAGGTTACTCAGGTAAAATTGGAACTGTGCATTTATTTCTGATGAGGTCTACCTGCACTGGTCCATGTACAGGGTTTATTCATACATGTAGGTGTATGTGGATACTTCTTTGCAGCATTGGCTGTTACCATGTAGAAAGTATGAAAGAAATAATAGCAATGACTTCTGAAGAGTTTTTATTATGATTCATGATAAATTCTGAGTGGTGCCAGTAAAATTTGTTCGGTGCAGGTAACAAGCGCAGGTATGTAGAAAAGTGCATTTCGAGCCCAGCAATACTTCCTTTCAAAGAGTAGGAATCAAGTCCGTTGGCACCATATAGGAAAGTAAATTGAGTGGTTGATAACTATTCCCCCTAGCCATGGAGGTGTGAGCAGATCACAGCAAATTCTGCTATCTACAACTTCCAGAGCCGCGAATTAACGACCAAGGCGTGAAGGATGGCAGATCTTACAGGCAGAAACCTGAAGGAAGGCTTCAGGAGGAACTGCATTAGAGAAGTGTAAAAGATTAATACAGGCAATTTCTCCTTGCCCTGCATTAATATCATGCTTTTTGGGGGCTTCTAAGACACTCTCATTGAAGTTGAGTACAGTAATTCTACAGGGGGGTAAGTTCAGAAAGATGGCAGTAACGAATTGCCTGAGGCATTGAGCACACAAAGCGATTTTAGGGCAGTAAACCTGGATTTTCAAAGTCAATTTTCTGGTTATTTTTTTTAATGTGGTAAGTAGTTGATTTATGTAGATTCAAGCTATGGGATAGGAGTGATTCAACTTACTACATTTAAAAAAATGACCAAAAGCTTGACTTTGAAGATCCAGTTTTGCCACCCTGGAAATGCACTGGATGCCTTTAATAAAACCCAACTGTGGTAACAATAAACAAAAAACCCCTGGGCTAAAATTAATGACCTGACTTCATTGCAGTCAGGTGGGATTCTCACCGCGGCTTGCGAAAATCAGTTTCTGCAGCCGCAGGTGATTCATTAGGACTGATGGAGGGTATTTCATTAACGGTTCCGTGTTCGAACGTGGAGGGTCAACCTCCAGGCAAAATGTCAAGGTAGTGTTTGTTCTCGTTCTCACTGCAGGTGGTGAATATTGGAGGGATTTGATTACGGTAGTCCCAAATTTACGGTCTAATTATTTCTGTCCTGATAATTAAGAATTGGTAAGAAGTGGTTCTTGGTTTGTACTTCCATCTATTCTTAGGATAAAACGATATGATGGAAAGACAAAATCTTCGCATATCTGGTAGTGAATATTGGAGGGATTTGATTACGGTAGTCCCAAATTTACGGCCAAATTATTTCTGTTATAAGAATCATTAAGAATGGGTGCTTGGTTTGTCTTTCAATCGAGTTGCTTCTATTCCTAGAAGAAAAGAATATGATGGAAAGACAAAATCTGCACTCACAGAGAATTAAGAATGGGCTCTGGGTTTGTCTTTTGGCTACATTGCTTCTATTTTCAGAAAAAAAGAAAATTCTATTCTTAGAATAGAAGCAATCGGATGGAAAGACAAAATTTAATAGAATAGAAGAATATTCTATTCTTAGAATAATAGCAATCTGAAACCCGGATTTTTCTATTTACTTGGTCAACGTTGTATCAGAATTTTGCCTGTTGCAGACAATATCTTTTCCATCACAACATTTGAAAACTACAGATGGGATGTTAAACTTATATACGCAAATACAACATTATATGAGACGTTCTGCCGAAGTGATATGTACAATACATTGCAGGTTTTGCGCAGGTGCAGTACGTTCTGCCGACGTGCTCCGAACACCACACCTCCAGGATCAAAGGCCATAAAAGATATTAATTCCCTGCTCCGATGAATTTGGACCTCAGGGGCAATTCAATAATTGCGGGTCTAATGTGACTTCAGATCAGGTGGATGTACCATTGATCGCAACTTGTACACACTATGGAAAGGCTGCCCTTGGCAAGGGGTCTGTCCTGGGCTCGCGTAACAGTTAACGGATCTTTCACATCAATTTGTCACCTTTTTGTCAAATGTTTTGATACATAAAAGTTTAATATTTCACTTCTTTAACCTCAAGTCCCACTTTCTGAGGAGAGTTTACGTCTACAAGATATCGTTTTTGGCCCTGTGAAAGCAATTTGGTTCTTATTAACGATAGGTTTGACACCCGAGGGTTTAATGTTCGCCCTGTGGCACTTATCGATTTTAGCGTGAAAACATCCATGGAAAATAACGGAGAAAACACATGGGATAAGTGTTGCCTCCGAGCGAGGGACACTCGGTTTTCCAGCAAATAAAATTACGTTATGCTGACCAGATTTTCTGATTCGAGAGGTCAACTGAGATCAAATGTGCCTCCAGTTGGACATATTTGAGGTGTTCACTAATGAAGTAGTGTTGCAGAGGTGGACAGATGGACATTTTGGCCGGGAGACATGATCAATACACCAGCATTACGAGCAGTTACAGGAATGTTTCACAGCTGTTGCCAACACGTAATAACACTCTTTAGAAACAGATGTCAGGCACTGTAGTAAAAGGGAGGAGGTGCTCTTTCACTGCTTTGAAAATTTCTACAATTGTTGTTTTTTCATGGTTACAAAGCACAAAAAGTAAGGATTTTACTACCTAATAATAAATTGGAGTTTACTGTAACAATTATGAACAATGCAGGGAGAAATTGTGCTGTATGTTGAATGGAAGGCAACTGTTTAAGAACATCCGTTCTTTCAGCACCAAGGGCAGGACAGCTAACTTTTCCTCAACACCATGGTTGGGGGAGTTAGGTGTTTGGGAAGGTGTTTGGGAGAACATTTCTTTTTATTTGGCTATGTGTGATGGGAGTTTCAACTCAATTCTGAGCTATGTCTGTGCTAGGACTAACTTATTTTCTGATGAAGCTTTTGACAACCTGTTATCCCTGTCTTAGTCTAGTTTCTAACACATGGATGGACACAAACATTGATACTTACATGCTATCTGTACAGTTGCCTCCTCGCTCCTGGAGGACCCCTCCGCACTCCAGGCTACACAGAGACAGAAGAAGTTCTCTCCCGTCTGCTCTAGTCTCTGATCCACTTCTTCCTTCGTCACCTCGATGCTGGTCTGTTTGTAGTCGACTCCCGTCTCCGGATCGGTGGAGTCGAAGTGCTTGTGGAACTTTGCACGCACCCACTCGTTGTTGCACTTGAAGTAGATCTGTATCGCAGGCGTTGCCTTGCACGTGAGGGTGACCGGACGATTCTTCACGATATACGCGTCCGTCGGGTGAATCACGAAGGTTGGTAGTTCACCGCCCCCCATACCCTCTGTGTAAGTAAGAAAAAAAATAAGAAAAAACTCATTACAAAATGGATATTCAAGGCAACTTTCTTGTTTATCTATTAAATGAATGAATGTATGTAGTTTTTGTTTGATTTCATGTTTTTTTTTTGTTTTACGTAGTTGTCCACACACATAACACACTTGCGTTAAAAACCAGCAGCAAAATTACAGCTTTTTCAATCTGTTGCCTTTACAGTTTTGCCAGGCACATTTGTACTTGCTTGTTTCGTTAGTTAGCACTCTTGTTTCACATGCGTGTTAGTTCACCAAGGCCTTTGTGTGGATTTTCAACACCTTACTGACAAACCAGAGCCTTGAACGCCAAAGCAGCTGCAGCATTAGTTATTATTACCACACCATGGACATACGTCGATATTTGAGGCTGCATGCAGACACTGTTAGTAGCTGCAAAAAACACAGCAACACATCTCCATCCACAGAACTGCTTTGGGAATTCAATTTGTCAGAACATTTTATCAAGATTTTTTACTACATGTATTCGTTTTCTTGATTTCTGCCCCAAAATATGCTTTCACTGGTTGAAAATGCCATTTTTTCACATTACGCAAGTTGTTAGAAGAACAAATAATTTAGATTTTTTCACTATACATTTTTTCAAGTTTTGCTGCAAAATATGCATGACAGATACTTAACAATTCCAAATTTCTTGCTCTTGTAGCTCTTGCAATGTGGAAGAGCAACAAATATGACTTGGTAGAACAATTACACTTTTCTTTAGATGGCTGATACAATGTCCAATGTGATAAACTTTTTCTCACAAACTCTTTAAACAGTTCAAAGAATGACAGTCTTTTTACTCTGTCACTGACGAAAGGTAGTGGACGCTACCTGAAATGTCTGACCATTTCCAAAATCATTTCCAATTGCTTGAGCAACTGTTTTTTGGCGTTGAGTAACTGTTTTTTAAGGTGTAAACAAAATCATGGTGTCCAAAAGCAGTTCCGTGGAAGAGCACAAAATGTCGGAGAGTTTGACCCAGCGGGTTGGCTGTGGCGGGTCCCTTTACCTAAAGACAAAGCCGAATCGTGGTCAGGTACTACGGACGGGTGGAAGGAACTAGCAGGATCCAGGGGCATAGGGTAATCTCCTGGTTCTGATGCAGCATGGGAAGGAAGACAGCACAGAATGAGGTACAGTTAAAACACGTCACGGTGCAAGGTAACGTGGGCAAATATGGCGTGAACAAATCGGTGGCTAGCATACTCGTCTGTGTAAGGTGTGCGTCGAGGATAAAGCGTGACGTACTTGAAATTGTGCGAAAATCATTTGCAAAAACGTGATATGAAAATGAAGGTTCAGACTGAGTTAAACCTACATCATAGCACTGCATAATAAACATATCAGGCAAGGTTTCAAATTTCTACAAGTACAACTACAGGTAGCAACGTAAAATCTACAGGCATCCATACACACATAGCAAGCACTCTAAAGCGTTCGAACAACTTGCAAACAAAAAACAAAACACATTCCAACATAATCTGTTGCACACAGAGTGCCACAAAATGCTGACAAGCATTCAAGTCTGCAAGGAAGCTCTGGCAAGAGTTTGGCAGTAGAATAAGTGGGGAGCATTTTTTTTTTAAAATTCAATCTGGTCAGGGATCTACCCACTCAATTATAATCAACTTATACAGGGGGTCGATAGTTTTCCCATTTTTCTATCGGATTTTCATAATTCACTTGGCAAGTTATTATTGTACGGTGCGTGGTTTGATTGGGTTAGCATGTAGATGGATCAAATTTGTGTCGGATTCTGTCGCATCAGCCTAAAACAGGTGGCCAGAAAACAACAGATGTCGCAGACTATTTGGATCAAATTACGGTAAAAAAAAATGCACGGACATCTAAGCATGAAATAGTTTATGAATCATCTTTTAATCCACTAAAAAATTCAATATCTTAATACTCTAAATATACTGTCTTATGGGCAAATGATAGATGTCAAAAACCGTTTTCTGGGTTGTAAAAGAATTGCTTCGACATTTAAGAATGAAAGTGCGTCTTGTATCCATCATGATAGTAATCTAGTCACAAAATTTATATTACGAAAAACATGCTTAGTGTTTCATAAATGAAAATATACCTTCTCCAGTGGCAAGATTCTGGCAATTATCTAAGTATGTTTGAAACGATAATGCTCACTACCAGCTGGTCCCGATTCTAATCAAATTTCTCTTCTTATCTAACCACACGAAGATGACTCACTCATCTTACTCAACTCATATAAAAAATCATCAAATCTTCCATACAAATAGCAATTTTCATATTAGTTGCTGCGTTCCATAACACGACTACAACATACGATAATGCAATATTAATCTTTTATTCATTCAGTCAATCATATATTCAATATTCATTCAAGCTTGTTATATGCCATCCATAACTGGAAAAAAGCGTGCGCCTCAAATTTTGTTTCACAGAGAGAGGATTATAGAAAAGCCTACAACAATCCCCTACGTTACAAACGGTGCACGTAAACACGCAGTATGACAAAGGGCTTGCCATATGCGCGTTTCTCTCTGTCTCGTGAGATTACGCAAAAGTACCCTGACGTAGGATGATATCATATTCCTGCCATCAGATAGCGAACGCTCGAGGATTTTCTTGTCAACTTATTTCACGTTACCTCATCAGTTATACAGGTAAACCCCAGCTACTTTGCATAAGGCCACACCAAGTAAATTTTATGGATGACGTCCTTTGGAGACCCTATATCTAATGCGAGAGGGCGAAAAAAAAACAAGAAGGGCACTAAAAAAAACAAGAAGGGCACTAAAAAACAAGTTAGATGCCTAGATTAGAAATATACTAAGAGACGACAAATGTTAGGACACGAATTGAATGAGGTGATACAGATTAACAAGCAAGAAGTCTTTTATTCATCATCAAAACAGCAATAAATCAGGTGGAAAAGTGGACAGTGAAAACAGGATGGTAATAGACACTTTCTTCGCGTTACGGGTTTCACGTCAATCTGACGATTTGCGGCACTGTCGTGACTCCTTGGTCATAGTTACAGGAAGCGGAATTTCTTGTTTTTTTCTTCTAGGAACAGGCCAAAATCAATGCGCGCGCGGACGTCATCCATAAAATTTACTTGGTGTGGCCTAATCATGCTTAGAGTCCTGCGCTCATAAAGACCGAGATTTAGACTCACAGATAAGTTCACAGATGGTATCTCGTGGGGGGGATACGAAGCGACTACAGGGCTCGAAATTCATTTTTGGGAATAAGTGCACTGATGCACCCAACCTAAAAAATTAGGTGCACAAAAATGTTTTTGGGTGCACCGTATGGAACAAAACATATTTAACGATCTTACTGCTCCTCTTCTAAGCTTGAATCTGAAGTGGGAGCTAACTTCAAAATCTTACACAAGTACTACAACAAAGATTTTATTATTTTTCTCACGCTTGGATGCCAAGAATATCCTGCATACTATCATTTAATATGCACAGAAATATTTCCAAAAATGTTTGGGTGCTGCCCAGTGCACCCACAGAAAAGAACTGGGTGCACAGCTCCAATTTTGGGTGCACTAAGGTACACATCATCAAATCAAATCAACTTTATTGCTCAACAATTGTAGCTGGTACAATGTATGGCAAAGAAACAACAAAGGTACATACACAAACTAATACTACAATATGATTCTAGCAGACTAGTCCATATGCACACAGTATTTCCAGCCCTGGACTACTTTGCAGAAGGAAACAGAATGCTTAAAAGACAGGGGATTATTACAATCAGGATATCATTACACAGGCCCAATTTGAATGTATTTTAGCTCCCATATGGTGTACACCAAATGACATATATTCATCTGTGTATTTCCCGATGGGTATCAGCCCACCACATTTACAAGTTAAATCCCTACCATGTTTCCCTTGATAATAAGCAGAGTAATCCATCCCTAAAATTCCCCCAAAGTCTACGAAAACGATAAGCAAAGCCCCGAGATTCCTTCCCGTACGATTCATCAAAATAATCCAAGGACCGCCGCAGCGATTCTGTTCCTATGACGACATTAATCATTAATCGTGTAACAGACCCTCTAATGGCTAAATATTGTAATGTCTAAAACTTGGCGGATTATGCCAATAAAAATGCGGCAATGACTCGAATTAGTTCGCCCTCATTGGTAAACATGAGGCTGACTTTCAGTGACCTTTGTGATCATTAGAAGAAAGCCCCATGCATAGGAGATCATCAGATGAATTTTGTGGGAGGGAAAAAGGAAAATTATCTGGGATGGGGGATTTTTTTTGTTTGGAAGTTGGAACCAACCACATTCCAAGAGCTTAGAGAATATGACTACATGTATATCTATTACGTACAAGAACAATCATTTCATATGAACGAAAAATTCTGTAAGTGTAGCTGTTTGAAAAGAGCATATGGAATAAAATAAAATAATTCAAGGGATACACACTCACACTCGGTATCCAGTTTAGCGTATGTTGCTTGTTCCCAGTCTTCCGAGAGTTAGACGTGCTTGCACACCTTTGCTGAGGAATTTCTAACTTCTTCCTGGACTATTTAACAATTCAGAAATTGACTAGAAGGCTTTGGGGGTACGATTTGCTAAAAATCATACAGGGAAAAGTCATATGCACCTTTACAACATATCATTCTAAAGTGTAGGTAGAATGAAAATGTACAGATTGAATCTATATATTTATTAAGTATAATCTGTTACAGTTTAGAGAATAGTCATACTGCCACTAGAAACCATCATATCGTAATAAAGCCGCCACATTACATCGTCATACATCCATACTTCGATAGAGATATGCTCACCCCTGATGGTATAAATTACCCAAACTCCCTAGTGATTACCCATAACCCCCTGGGGCTGACAAGTAGAGGACGGACGAGCGTATGTCGCGAAAAGGCAGCGATACGATCTTCATGTTGTGCCTTTTACCGTCGCGCTCATACTTTTATGGCGAGACTCATTTTTTCATGAGAGACGAGATCACGAGGAAGATATTTCAGCACGGGACGTCAAGCTCTATGAATATATTACCACACGAGTATCCAGGATACCGGAAAATCTAACAGCTGATGTAGTAAGGCCTAGGAAAGAAATGTTGTGTTGCCTGTTTCCCAGCTGACCCTAGAAAAAGCTGCCCACCCTAGCCTTTTTTTGGGTGGACCCCTGCAAGGGACATGAATTTTTCGAGCTCATCGACCTTTTCTAGCTCCATGATCTGACACCTGAGTGATGAAACATTGCACAATCGGTTTTCCAACATTGACATTGAAAATGTCCTCATGCAGGTTTTACTTTGTTAAACTGTAACTGGTAAAGAAGGAAAGGACAAAAAGATAATCCCTACCAACTGACCCTAATTTTTTTCAGGGCTGAAACAGGAAACACAACATTTTATCCCTAGGCCCAAGACTATGCGGGACACTGGAAAATATAAAAGCAGGACCGGTTCACAGGCCACTGCCTTTATGGTCGCCGACGACACAATTCATATGAAAATAATACAGGGCATTGGCCAGTAGACATTACCATGACCCACAACCACGAGACAATGATGCCAGTACCCAGATTCGAGAACGAAGTTGTTCTCTTCTTGGATTGACATTTTAATGTTTAATAAGCTGACTTGAAAGGAATCCCATTTAAAAAGCATATTCTGACCCACTACTGGAGTATATTATACTTGGAGCCATTTGGGACATACACGACAATTTGTCAACGTCACTTGACCAAGCTATTAGAGGATGACAAATTGCAGAGTGTATCATTTCGACGAGGCTACGGCATTCAGATATTTTTTCTTCCTTTTATCAGTATTCTTCCTTAGGGAAAATCCTACTTGGGTTTTGACTTGACACATTAAGTGTGTTAAAAATGGCAGGTGTCAAATACGATCCATCAAAAGTGGCCGTTTGGATTAAGCGATGTAGCAAGGTGTTGCTATCGCCACCTGTTCCTGTGATGTGGTCCATTTTGCTACATGCTCCGCTACATCCTTTAATGCCACTATGTAGCACCACTCTGTCACAGGGTGTATCAGCTGACAAACAGGCATGGTGACAGTGGGCAGCATTTTGTCAGAACGTACTGCGCCTGCG